TTAGTTCTGTTCCGGCACAACTTCTGGTTGCACATTGTTGCTTGAGTGGGTTTCTTTCCACTCTGCGTTCACCTGTTTTGAACTAAACCAAACCAAACAAGGCGTAAATCTCAGTGCGTAGATTTTCAACATGGATCTCCCGATTGATACGGGTGATGCGTCATTGGACGGCAAGATAAGAGAGTGGCTGCAGTATGATGAGGTATTCGTCTGTTGCACTGGTTACATATTTGCAGACATTCAACTATTCATGACTATAATTATTGTTTCATAAGAACTCAGCTCAGATGGTGAGCCAAAGAAATATTAAAATTGAAAACATGGAAAACAGCGGGGCACAAGCTATGCGTTAGAGTCCACCAATAATGACCAGATTTTGAACAGTCAGACGTGCACACTCTAGCACCAAACTGACAATGAGTACCTGTCTCATTGCTTTTTCACCCTGCTGTTCTGGCATGATCCATGTTTTATTGTAAACAAGGAGTACTGAGACATTCCTCATCAGGTTTACAACTGGCTTTGTCTCTTCGTTTGTTGAAATGTCTATGTGTATTTGTGTGTGTATATGTAGAATCCGGTGACACGAGATGAGATCATTCAGCTAGTCCAGGAGAAGAATCATGACAAGCTGAACGCTCTGCTCATGAAACGACTGGCTTTCGGCACTGCTGGTTAGTAGACCATGCTTATGTAGTGCACAGTGTGTTGGTGGTGGTGGTGGTGGTGATGGTGTCGTCGTCATCGTTTGTCGTCGTCGTCATCGTTTGTCGTCGTCGTCATCGTTGTTATTAGGGCAATCCCCAGAGACTACGAGGTGAATTGCTATTTCTGGACATTGTACATTTCTGGACATTTCGAGTAAAATAATTTTTCGTCGCGTGTAGAGTCAAGTCAGTCAAGTTGATGAAGTTTTTCTTGCCGTAGTTGACAGCTGGGCTGTTGTAGTTTCTCCTCGTGTCGGTGCCTTGTTGATAGCCTTTGCTTGTGCGGCATTTCAGCGGATTAGGGTTAGGGTAGGGTGCCTTGTTGATAGCCTTTGCTTGTGCGGCATTTCAACGGGTTAGGGTTAGGGTAGGGTGCCTTGTTGATAGCCTTTGCTTGTGCAGCATTTCAACTGGTTAGGGTTGTTGTGATCTCGAACTCGTCAGTCACTGAACTGATTTTATTGTAAAGAAGACACGAACTTATAGAGTGTGAAGAAGAGTATAGCGAGATAGAGAGCGGTAGAAGGAGAGCCACTGGACAGCTGGATAGTGTATCAATAAGCGCACGAGGGGAAGGCTAGACAGTATGTCTCCAGACAACAATAGGTATTGTACGAAAAGCCAGTCAATAGCACTAAGGAGTGAAGTCAACCACAACACAGACAATAGCTTCAGACAATCATGACAGGCATGATACGGATGATATAACAAGGGTTAGGGTATGGTGCCTTGTTGATAGCCTTTGCTTGTGCGGCATTTCAACGGGTCTTGCTGTGCATGTACTATGTCGCATGAGAATTTTGAATTTTGAGTAAAATAAGAAGTAATGGACGAATGTTTGGCTTCCCCATGTGCACTCCACTTCAGACGCTGTATAGTCTTGGACCTGTTGGCTAGAAGTGTGAAGAGGCCAACTGCAGTCCACCAATAGAAAAAATAACAAAAACGGTGCAGTATAGGATGCCTATTGACACTATTTTACTTTCATGTCCAGAATTCCACACACTGAAATTTAGGCCAAAAAAATTGGCCTGTCAAAAACGTCCTGCTATCAAGTCTCTGGGATCACAACATGAGCAATTGTCACATACTTGGAAAGATGAAGGATTAGGCCATACAATAAATACGAAGATATAAGAAAAATGTAAAACACACAGCCAGTGGGGCTCTATTTTATTTTCATGTCCAGAAATTGCTATTCACCTCGTATAAGTCTTTTTACAGGGTACCCTGTGTGGAGATAGGAGATAAACAAGAGTGTGGAACTCCGGGATGGGTTGGCCCACAGCGGAATTTTTTGTTGACGTCATCTTTTCTACGACGCCTACGCTGCGAGTCTTTTGGTAAGTTTTGCCTCATGCACTTGGCCGGACTTTACGTTACAAAGTCGGTGGCCAGCACGTGCTCTCTCACTGCTGTGTGGCAAAATGCACGTTTTTTTTCTGAAAAAAGGTGACGTCAACAAAAACATTCCGCCGTGGGTCGGGGTATCTGCAGATTGTGCAGGAGAGATGCGGAGTTGCACACTCTTGTTTATCTACTCTTCGGGGTATCTGCAGATTGTGCAGGAGAGATGCGGAGTTGCACACTCTTGTTTATCTACTCTTCGGGGTATCTGCAGATTGTGCAGGAGAGATTCGGGGTATCTGCAGATTGTGCAGGAGAGATGCGGAGTTGCACACTCTTGTTTATCTACTCTTCGGGGTATCTGCAGATTGTGCAGGAGAGATGCGGAGTTGCACACTCTTGTTTATCTACTCTTCGGGGTATCTGCAGATTGTGCAGGAGAGATGCGGAGTTGCACACTCTTGTTTATCTACTCTTCGGGGTATCTGCAGATTGTGCAGGAGAGATGCGGAGTTGCACACTCTTTCTTATCTACTCTTCGGGGTATCTGCAGATTGTGCAGGAGAGATTCGGGGTATCTGCAGATTGTGCAGGAGAGATGCGGAGTTGCACACTCTTGTTTATCTACTCTTCGGGGTATCTGCAGATTGTGCAGGAGAGATGCGGAGTTGCACACTCTTGTTTATCTACTCTTCGGGGTATCTGCAGATTGTGCAGGAGAGATGCGGAGTTGCACACTCTTGTTTATCTACTCTTCGGGGTATCTGCAGATTGTGCAGGAGAGATGCGGAGTTGCACACTCTTGTTTATCTACTCTTCGGGGTATCTGCAGATTGTGCAGGAGAGATGCGGAGTTGCACACTCTTGTTTATCTACTCTTCGGGGTATCTGCAGATTGTGCAGGAGAGATGCGGAGTTGCACACTCTTGTTTATCTACTCTTCGGGGTATCTGCAGATTGTGCAGGAGAGATGCGGAGTTGCACACTCTTGTTTATCTACTCTTCGGGGTATCTGCAGATTGTGCAGGAGAGATGCGGAGTTGCACACTCTTGTTTATCTACTCTTCGGGGTATCTGCAGATTGTGCAGGAGAGATGCGGAGTTGCACACTCTTGTTTATCTACTCTTCGGGGTATCTGCAGATTGTGCAGTAAAACCTGATTTAAGTGACCTCTGGTTTTAAGTGACCTCTGGTTTTAACGACCATATTTCCATGCACGCACAGTTCTACACAGAAACTGCACCGGATACAGCGACCACCTGCTTTGCGCGACCAGTGATCGACTTTTGTGTACCAAGTGCCATATCTGACCCTGCATGCAGCGACTAAAACTAGCCAAAAGTGTTATGCTGTCTGGCAGGATTCACTGCAACAGGGTTGAAGTGGGCTCAGAAGCTGGGCATGCAGTCAGCAGAAGTGGCAAAGTGACAGTACAAGGTGCGCTGCATGCACTCGAGTGAGGTGTGAAACTCGTGGGTGCTTTGCCTGCATGAACAAGTTCTTTTCTCCACACCTGTCAATATGAGCATATGGAAGCATTATTACAAGATCCCATATGCCACCAATAGGGAGGTTTAGCCCTACGTAATCCGTGTGTACTTTACGTGTGTGTACCACGTGATACTCAGTGACCCACGTACAGCTGCTGTTTTCTGACTCAGGACATACTGTGTATGGAGGGTCACCCACGTTCAGCCAGAACGCCAGTGAAAATCAGAATGGAGCGCATTGTGCAAGCTGTGGGAGTGCTCAGCTGAAGAAGTTTTCGAAGCACGAAATCAAAATATTAGATGAGCTTCAAAGCTTCGTCTTTGGGCCTTTTGCTTTCATGCTTTTGTTTTTTGACGCATGAAAACTTTGTTTTTTCGAAGTCTTTCTTGTCGTTCTTGAGTCCGTGCGAGGGCTCACAGGGAAAGGGAAAGGTGGTGATACTTGGATTCAGATAAAATAGACATGCTCAAATCAAAAACTCACGATACCTGATGGCTCGTCTTGAAAGCCCTCCGAGGCACAACACATTCAGAGCTGACCAACCCTGGCAACCCATAATCGACACAAACACAAACCAAGCTCACTTTGAAGTGCTTTCGTTTCTTCCCGAACCCTTATCCAAGATGTTTATGTCCCGAGATGACGTGTTTACTTGTCTTGTTTTCACAAGTATTGAATCTGTGTGACTAAACACAACATTGCGACCGTGGGTATATTGCATGAACTTTACGTGTATCACCCACGTTCCCGTATCCGTTACGTGGGACTAAACCTCCCTAATGTAGGGGACCTGGTTCTAAAGACCACCTAATTATGACTGCCTGTAACTCTGCTGTGTCACATTGTATAATTATGACTGCCTGTCACACTATAATTATAATTATGACTGCCTGTCACACTATATAATTATGGCTGCTGTGTCACATTGTATAATTGTTCATTATGACTGCCCTGTCGTATTGTATAATTATTCATTATGACTGCCTTGTCACATTTGTCCAGCTGAGCAGCATACCACAATGCAGTGATTGGTTTTTACAGCTGCCCTGTTATTCTGTTTGATTATGTTTGTTTTGTTTTGTTGTGCTTTGTTAGGACTGCGTGCCCGGATGGGAGCTGGCTATGCTTGTATGAATGATCTTGTCATCATTCAAACCACTCAGGTACATTCATTGACTACAGTCCTTTTCTGCAGTGTACACTATGAATTGGATGGTATGCAGTGGACGGACGGTATGCGCTTTGCAGTGGATGGTGTGCACCATCCAGTGTGCAATATGCGTTGTGCAGTGTGTAGTGGATGGTATGCCCTGTGTAGTGTGCAGTGGACGGTGTGTGCTGTGTAGTGAGTGAGTATGCACTGTGCAATGTACAGTGCATAATGCACACTGTACATTGCACAGTGCATTATGCACTGTGCAATGTACAGTGTGCATTATGCACTGTGCAATGTACAGTGCGCATTATGCACTGTGCAATGTACAGTGTGCATTATGCACTGTGCAGGTTACAGTGTGCATTATGCACTGTACAGTGCACAGTGCACAGTGTGCGCTGTGCACTGTGTGTAGTGTGCCATAAAGTCTTGTTTAAAAGTCGCACTCGAATAGAAGCCGCACTTTTGGAAACATCAAATAGCACACAAGCCACCTTTCCACGTGTATAGTGGCCTATAGTGGCCTATAGTGGCCGCAACCACCTTCCAAGTACTTCCAACTAGGCATATACTTTTTTGTTTTGTTTTTTGAAGTACTGACATTGCTATTCCTGGCATTGACCTCGACACCTGACATCACGCAACATTGTCACTTAACCCTATCTAATCCATTACATTCAAACTAGACATTCGTTCTTTTCCCTCCAATAGAGCGGGTCAGCATCGGGCATGACACAGCGTGTGCACTATTGCGTTGATTGATGGAAAGCATTCAATGATGTATTTCACAGACAGAAGAACGAGCAGTTGCTTTTTCGTAACTCTGACTTTCACGAACTGAATCGGTCATCAGACGAAAATTTGTCTGTGTATTCCGCTCTTTGCTTTCGGCAAATTGAGCCCTCTACAGACTGTGGATAAACTTCTCATAGAGATGTATTTCCTGCTCTTCTGCGTATGTCTGTACACAGGGTTTACTGCGCTATATGCAAGTTGCCTTCTCTGATGTTGACAAGGACGGTGTTGTTATTGGTCATGACGCACGCCACAACAGCATGCGGTCAGTTGCTAGTAGTTACTACTGTGATAGGCCGCTTGATGTTTTAAAGTGCCTTTGAGCATGCACCACTCATGTACAATGTACATGTATAGTACACCCAGTGTTTGCTGTGTACAGTAAAACCTGGTTTAAGCAACCACCCCACGGTGCGAGGAAAAACGGCCGTTAAAGCCAGGTGGTCTTTAGAACCAGGTCCCACAGTGTCTGTGTAGAACTGTCCGTGCGTGGAAAGATGGTCGTTAAGAGCAGGTGGTCGCTAAAACGAGAGGTCGCTTACACCAGGTTTTACTGTACGGGTATACTACACCCATTGTTAGCTGTGTACTGGTATACTACACCCATTGTTAGCTGTATACTGGTATACTACACCGATTGTTAGCTGTGTACTGGTATACTACACCCATTGTTAGCTGTGTACTGGTATACTACACCCATTGTTAGCTGTGTACTGGTATACTACACCCATTGTTAGCTGTATACTGGTATACTACACCCATTGTTAGCTGTGTACTGGTATACTACACCCATTGTTAGCTGTGTACTGGTATACTACACCCATTGTTAGCTGTGTACTGGTATACTACACCCATTGTTAGCTGTGTACTGGTATACTACACCCATTGTTAGCTGTATACTGGTATACTACACCCATTGTTAGCTGTATACTGGTATACTACACCCATTGTTTGCTGTGTACTGGTATACTACACCCATTGTTAGCTGTGTACTGGTATACTACACCCATTGTTAGCTGTGTACTGGTATACTACACCCATTGTTAGCTGTGTACTGGTATACTACACCCATTGTTAGCTGTATACTGGTATACTACACCCATTGTTAGCTGTATACTGGTATACTACACCCATTGTTTGCTGTGTACTGGTATACTACACCCATTGTTAGCTGTGTACTGGTATACTACACCCATTGTTAGCTGTGTACTGGTATACTACACCCATTGTTAGCTGTGTACTGGTATACTACACCCATTGTTAGCTGTGTACTGGTATACTACACCCATTGTTAGCTGTATACTGGTATACTACACCCATTGTTTGCTGTGTACTGGTATACTACACCCATTGTTAGCTGTGTACTGGTATAGTACACCCATTGTTTGCTGTGTACTGGTATACTACACCCATTGTTAGCTGTGTACTGGTATACTACACCCATTGTTTGCTGTATACTGGTATACTACACCCATTGTTAGCTGTGTACTGGTATACTACACCCATTGTTAGCTGTATACTGGTATACTACACCCATTGTTAGCTGTATACTGGTATACTACACCCATTGTTAGCTGTGTACTGGTATACTACACCCATTGTTTGCTGTGTACTGGTATACTACACCCATTGTTAGCTGTGTACTGGTATACTACACCCATTGTTTGCTGTGTACTGGTATAGTACACCCATTGTTAGCTGTATACTGGTATACTACACCCATTGTTAGCTGTGTACTGGTATACTACACCCATTGTTTGCTGTGTACTGGTATACTACACCCATTGTTAGCTGTGTACTGGTATACTACACCCATTGTTTGCTGTGTACTGGTATATAGCCAACAGTCAATCAAACCAAGAGTGTGCAGCTTCGGACTTTTTCTGCATGGATCCTAGATTTCACCATACAGTAAGGGGCCGGTCACACTGAGGGAAAATTTGAAAAAAATCCGTGGTTACCATGCATATTTGCTGCTGAGCGGGAGATTTGAGAGATGTAAT